CTGCATAAAAAGGGGAGCATTAAAAAGATAGAGAATAATTGGTCTCCGCCCTGTTCCACACTATCCATTTACCGCAAAAAGTGTTTCTGAACGTCTCACTCACTATACAGTCGTTTTCGCTGCAGACGCTGGGTCAGGGGCTGGGTTTGGCGCGGCGCCAGCCCGTTCTCCGTCAACTTCTTTCTCACTGGAGGTTAGAGCAGGCAGGCGGCAACCATATGCTCTGCTCCTTGTCACACCCCAGCATCTACAGCGAAAACGAGCACACTTTATTTTTATGGTTTTCAAAACTTCCAGAGACGTGTAAGTAATGTTGAGGATATCGAATCTGTTTAGGGTGGGGAATTCGTTCGCCATAGTTCGACCTCCTGGACATCATGCATTCGGTAGAACTCCTCAAGGTTACTGTGTGTATAATAATGTGGCCATAGCAGCGAAATATGCCGTAGACAGGCTGAAGCTCCAAAAGGTTGTTGATCAATACTTATTTTTTGGAAATGGAATATTTGAGGATTCTAAAAACATGCCAATCGATCAATTCTACAGGTGGCAGTTGTGGATTTCGATTACCATGCTGGGAATGGCACGCACTATTGTCTGAGAGACGATCCACGATTACATTTCACATCATTTCACTCGTATCACCATGGAGCCTTCTGGCCTTGGAAGGATGAGTTCGATTTCTCCACAGAATACGGTAGGTATACAGTAATGATGGATCCCAGTGTATCACTGCCTATAACTGTCTCATTATCAGATAATACGCTGATGTTTCCATTGAATGGAGCGATGAATACAGAAAACGACTTTGTCAGCGCTTTTCATCACCTTCTAATCCCGATGCTCAAAGAATGGAAACCCGAGGTAGCTTAGTTTTCTCAAGGTCAGCATCGAAGAGGGGTAGTTCGCTTTGATCGCATGGGCGGAGTCACTCAAACAAGTGGTCTTTCTCATTTGCGAGCATTCCTTCCAAAATGCAATGACGGGGAGCGCGCCAATGAAGGAATAGCAGAAATTCTTTCACCAGCAACTCCGCCCACAGAACTAGCGTGGAACACTCTTTCATTATAAAATGTTTCTTATTTTTCCTGAAAGAGATAATAATAAGAATTCAATATAATTCCATTTTTTATGATATTTTTATGGATACAGTGGACTAGTTTAGACCCGCTTTCACAAGCACGCCTCAAGCCGGAGATTAAAGCGTACTTTTTGACTAACTTTAATCCAAATTACTGAAAAAATTAAGTTTTGAGCTCGTTCTCACTCCTGCTACTTGCAGCTAATTATCGTTTCGGCTGGATTTGATTCGGGCTACTACGACATCATGTTAGAAGACGGTCAAGGAATAAAAGCTCATGGGTATGTCATT